GGTCACAATGGATCACAGTCGGTCACAACCGGTCACAACCTTTGATCCATACGATTTTTGCCAATTTAATCACTCAACAACATCGAACATTAAAATATGGTTTTTGCGATTTTTGTGTTTCAAAGTTGTTCTTGCAAATGTGTTCCTATATGTGGGTCATCGATGTTTCATTCACAACTTTATGAACTACTGTAACTGTTAATGCATTACTTTGTCAACATGCGGTGTCAATTATTGAGAATCATCGACATATCCTTCTTTTACTATTTACTTATCGAACCATTTCACAATCTTGGAAAGATAAATATCAAGCAGGCCTAGCACCGAAAACCTTTTTGCCTTCTTCAATACAAATTTGATCGATTCAGCCGTATTTGTACTCAATAAGTTGTACCTTTTTACCTTCTTCAATACAAAGTTAATCGATTCAGCCGCATTTGTAGTCAATAAGTTGTACCTTTCACGCTTAAATTTAGATATCGCTCATGTGACCATTATTATCAATCTGACCATTCTAAACCATATCACCATGTGACCTATGTGAACATGTGATAATGTGACCGTGTGACCATGTGACCTTGTGACCATGTGATTATAAAACCATGTGACCGTGTGACCATGTGACCGTGTGACTATATGACTTTGTAACCATTGTGACACATGTGGCTTGTTATCCTAATGATCTGTGAACAATGTGACCAAGTGACTATGTGACCATATAACATGTATGACCCGTGATAGACAATATTATTCTAAAAACACCTAAAATGCATATTCGACACAAATCTATGACTATAGCATATTAGAAACGATAAAACAACGAAAACAACAACAATTAGAAGAAAAGAACCGCAAGAATCATCAATGTGCATGAAAAAACTGAGATTTCGACACTAGTTTACCTATTACCAATTTTCTCACCGATTTTGCTTTGATTTTCTTTTGATTTTGTCGGTTTTTAAGTGAAAATAGCAAGATAAAGAGGAGAGAGAAAATACAGAAGAGAGAGAAAGCTCTATGGGCATTAATGGTGGAGGAGAGAGAAACCGAAAAAGAAGAAGAAGAGAGAGAAACTCTAGTTTCGAGAAAATTTTGTAATTAAAAATTAAATATAAAATAATGTCATAAGGATATTTTAGTAATTATACATCAAATAGGGTAGAATAGAAGTAGAAATTTTTTTAATTTTAAAGGAGGGTATACATAGAAGTACATGTAGCACATTGAGGGTATTTTAGAAGTTGGCCCTATTGAAGGAGAAGCGTTCCCTCATTTTTTGGGCCAATTATCTTTTGGGCCGAAAGTCAATTAGTTCATACTAAATAAAATTAAAAAAAAAAACAGGAGTTCACATAATTTATACACATATATATATATAGATTATTTTAAAAATAATTATTTTATTCTTATAGTATTATTATCAAAGTGGGACGTAACTTGATTTTGAGAAATAATGATAAGAAAAAGGGCGCTAATAACCATAATGATTCTTAAATTAGGTGGACATCAAGTATATATACATAAAGATATGATTCTATAGATTAACATTTCATCAAAAGATATGATTCTATACGGATAAACATAAATTCGTTTTATGGACCTAACAATTAATTAAAATAAATATCAAAATATCTTTCGAAGTTTTGATTAATAAAATAGTTCACGATATGCATTGACGTTCGTGTAATTACGTAGATATATGCATATATACATACACATATACGCACGCATGACGCATGTCATCTTTATTGGGTTGGACATATATGCAAATCAGAACCTGTCCTCTTGTCTTCGTTGACCCTTGCAGTTCCTCGCATGTTGACTTCGAACCTCGCGACAAATCGTTATTTATTCTAAAAAAATTGTATATTTTAGGGGAAACAAATATCTCACGCGATATTTACTAAATTATCAAATAATAACTAGAATAATGACAGTAATGATAAAATACTAAAATAAAGTTTGAATAGCTGGCTATATATGATGATATCTTATAAGAAAACAACAAACTTTGTTAAGTTAAAGATATATTCATTTCCGATCACGGATTTTATAATATTTGTATACTTTAAATTTGAAATTTTATAATATACATATTATTATATACATAAATAGAAATACATGACATTAACGACATATATTTTTCACATAAACATAAGTTATATAGGGTCATTATCCAAAATATCCTCCTTTTACTAAATCTATTTCTGCACGTATCCTCTTCCAAATGTGACCATATGACCAAATTAATTGTATGGTCACATTGGTCACAACGTTAAATTTTTTATGATTTCACCAAATGATTAATATGATATGTAAGGTGTGATCATGGTGATTTAGTGTGATCACCATAAATTTAACGTTATAACCAATGTGACCATCATGTGACTATACATTTATTTTGGTCACATGGTCACATATGAAAAAAGGAAAAGGTATGTGCAGAAGTAGGTTTAGCAAAAGAAGGATATTTTGGATATTTTTTGCTAGTTATATATTATATATATACAATTTTTTTATAATTATTTTTGCTTCAAGTAAAAAGAAAATAAAAATAACATCGAATACTTTATTTGCATCACTAGAATTTATACATTACCAGTTCTCTAAAAACAACGTAGTTTTAATCTTTTTGCTAATAATAAAATTTTCAAACATCACACAATTATCATTCGTTAGAGAAAAAAAAAACATACAATTACTAAACCGTGCATTTGCCCATGATAACCCCGATAATTTCATTTCTGCCACACATACCACTGTATCATTGTTCTAAGTCCTAACCATTCAATTTTTCCAGAACGGACGTTAAGTCTCTTTTATGCACATTCACTTTAAGACCATACTTCATGAACAACGTTAACGACATCTTCTGTTCCACTTTGTGTCCCGCCGCCACCGTTATCCGGTGTCGGAGCAAAACGGCTGCCACTATCGATTTCATCTGCAAATATGCCAAATCTTTGCCCAAACAGATCCTCGGGCCGGCATTGAACGCCACGAATTTATACTGATTATTACGTATTTCGGTATCTATATCCGAATTCGAAAGTATCCAACGTTCGGGTTTGAATTCTAAACAGTCTTCTCCCCATATAAACTTCATCCGGCCCATCGAATATATCGAATATGTTACGTTCGAGCCTTTCGGGACGAATGTTCCGTCGGGTAGAACATCGTCATTCACGACATACTTCGAGTCTTCGGGCACGGACGGGTATAATCGCAGCGTCTCGGACAATGACGCTTTTAGATATACCAACCGGTCAACTTCTTCGAAAGTCAACGGTTCATCTGTCCATTCAGATACGTTTTTGCCACGTGTCGCCATCAGAACTGTGCAGATTTCTGTCACGATCTTCTCCTCGACTTCCGGGTTTATGCTTATTAACCAGAAAAACCAGCTCATGGCAGTGGATGACGTGTCCCGTCCAGCTAGGATGAAATTCATTGCCACGTATTTGAGAAACTCGTCCGAGTAGGACTCCTTCTTCCTCATGAACCGAGACAACAAGTCGTCGTGGTGGGAACCATCATCGGATTGCTGACTCAGCAGCTCGAGCTTGCGAGTAGTGATGATGTCGGATAAGTATCCGTCCACGTGGCGAAGACTGCGGCTCATGTCGGATTCCATGCCAAGCCCTAGCCATTTCCTGAGCTTCCATATAGACTCCGGCATTATAAACCGTTGAAGCGTTGCTTCAGTGGCTCGGTCGAAGGCTGAAGCGAAGCTGTTCTCTGGAAATTCCGGCGACAACGTTCTCGGATCTTTCCCGAAAGCTAAACCGCATATGTTATCGAAAGTTAACCGGAGGAGAATATCCTGGAGGTCGACCGGTTCAGTTCGGGTCTGAGCCGTCTCGAGAATCGGTATGAGCCGGTTCTTGATCGCCCGGTTAACCCAACGACCCATGGCTTGGCGAAGCGTGCGGGTGGTGAATTCCAGTGCGGCGGTCTTACGCTGGAACCGCCACGTGTCACCGTCGGAGTTGAAGATCCCGTCGCCGAGCAGATCGTGGAAGACGGATTGCCAGCTCGGACCCTTGGGGTAGTTCTCGAACCGGGTCTTGAGGATGTGCTCCAGGTTCTTCGGAGAGCAGGTGACAGTCACGTGACTTTGGCTCGTGGCTAGGAAGGGAATCGCGAGTGTGCATGTCTGGTACGTGCCTCCGCACGTGCGGAGGTTATCGGCGATGAAGTCGTGCATGCGGTGTGCGTTCTTGATGAGGGCGGGGAGACTGCCCAATAGGGGCCAGACACGTGGACCTCTTAGGGACCTTGAGATCAGCACGAACCATAACATGTAGGCTGCCACCACGCCTAGGATGATCGCAGCCGTTGATCCCTCCATCTGACGGATGACCGCAGGTAATATCGAACAAGAAGAAGAAGAAGAGACAAGAGTGTGATGTCTGGTTTGTGAATGGAAGATAAAGAACAATGTGCTTTATAGAGAAAAACAACCAGATGTATTGTTTGAAGAAAACGAAATAAAATTTTAGGAGCATTAAATACGGCAACGAAGTTTGTTGTTGAAAAATAACCACAAGAGACTTAAATAATTGCTGGGTCATGTGGGAGTCGGGCCACTGTATTATATTGGAAATTTACGAGTTTACATGGAACTAGACTTCACCATTCACATGCATGTTGCCATACGAATTATAGTTCTGTACGTATATTATACACATGAATGTGACCTTTGTTATACCACTGATTTTTGCATGGCTATAACGCTATTCCTATTTTGACGGAACATAGTTTTAAGAAAGATTTACGCTTTATAATTCCCAACTTTAGTCTCTCTTTAATGAACCGAAAGAAGACGACGGGATGAAACTAACTTGCTATATAGCTATGGAAATAAGTGGCCACTTAAAAGTTGGTGAGGCAAATTAAACTAGAAAACAATACATGATAATGATGTCTATCGATTCATATACATACATATATATATGTATATGTATATAATAAACTTCTTGCGATCGGACTGAATAATTAATACTGACTCAAATTCGTTAGCTTACTACATATTTATTTAGAGTTAGATTATGATGGCAAGATAAAGAGTTGGATCCCTTTTATTTGAATGATCATCATCATCATACATGGTTTTGTTAAACAAAATATATACATATATATATCAAAGCTAATATAATTACTGTCATCTATATAAAATCTATTGAATCCTAAAGATAACATAGAAAGGATGGTAGCTTTTTATAACGAGCCCATGTATGAAACGAAGAAAATATTGCCAATGTTACTATTTAGTGCATTGACGTAGTGACGAAGGAGAATTAATCTGAATATATAAAATTTAAAGGCGTCGATGTATAGATAAACGTCATTTAGGACACCTCGTGGTGTATAAAAAAATAATGTTAAGTTAGGTAAATTAATGGCACGGAAATTTAATTGATTATTGATAATTTAATAATTCAAAATAGTAGAGAGAGAGAAAGGAGGAAAATACCATTTCAACTTAAATTCCGGCATTAAATTGGATTTAGTTGAAGAGGTATCAATGCTTTGATTTCTCTGTCTACACGCATGCGACTTATATAACTTGGTACATTTGATTCATTATAATTTATAGCCTTATTATGATGTTGTGGTCATTTTGTCTTTGTACTAATCATTTTTTTCCCAATCCCAATGGGTTCATTTGGGCACGTGGATGAGTCGAAATGAATTTACTTGGAAAAAACTCAAGATATAGGAAATTAAATTATAAACAAAAGTAACAAGATTTGTGTCCTTTTTTTTTTATATAAACGTGTAATTTTATTTGTATTGTGATACAATACATTGCTCAAAATTTATTTATAAATCAGCTAAAAAAATATGTCTATCATGACTCAAATTACGATATATAACTGATTTTTTTAGATTCACGTAACCGAAAAAAAAAAATCTCATTTTTTTTAAAGTGGAAAAAAGAGAGAACCAGGAAAAGGTAACATTGACAGTAACAGAACAAGAAGAAGAACGATAACTACAAAGTGTTAAAAGACGATAGGTTTACGTACAATAATCAACGATCCACCGGCTTTGTCGGCTTGTGGGTCCTACACTTCCTAGCCACGTGGATTCCATGTTAGCCATGTGGGACCCCTTTATGTAACAACACCCGTTTAGCATTTATTTCAGTTGATGATTATGAAGTAAATATAATACATTAGAAATAATAAAAAGTTTTTCATGTATGGTATACTTTTACATGAAACACCTAAACCTAATTCAAGAACAGCCTCAAACTCAAAACCCTCGCCATTGATTTCCCGACCGCAACTCTGCAAGATCTCAACACATTGCACATCTTTCTGGTTCACACATTACAGATCTTCTTGGTTTTCGATCTGGATAAAACCCTAAATCGATATTTCGCGGCCAGGACTTTGCCAAACCTCGATACATCGGGAATCCTTTCGGGTCACAAACATTCGGTTACCTCCAAATGCCAATTGGGATATCCTGTTTCCTCCCAGATCCCGGGAACTACCCATCAAACTCTTCCTAAACAATCTTCCATCCGGTACATCCCGGACAGCGTTCCCCAACAGAGCCGTGATTACCTCGGAACATAACTCTAGATCTCCTCCCTTACTACAGAACACATTGTTCCCATAGCTATTGATCTTACACCCGATTCCTTCCCTTTTCCCATTCAAGCTTCTTCTTTGATCTCCGATGAAAATCCATGGATCCTCGGCTCCTAGACTTCTCAACTCAGTGTAGAACACTTCGCCCGACATCACTCCGACTTTGAAAACCGCAGAGAGATTATCTGAAACAGTGACATCCGAGAAGCAATCTAGTGTCTCCTTGATCTCCCAAACCATGTTCCTCGTTCGTATGTCCCAAAACCTGATGTGACCCATCACACCTGATGGACTACTATGAGACCCTGAAGCCATTAACAGATTGTAACTCGGAATCCAGCTCAATTTATCAGATGGGATCCCGGAATCAATGTCCGAACCGTAGATTTCACGGTGATCAATCTCAGCCACTGGCATCAAGCTAGCTAAATCATACACCATTATCGAATTCGAGGTTCTTCTACTGGATTCAAAGCTAGTGAAGAGATATTCATTCGAGGAACCGATGGCTTGAACAGTGGAGCTAGACCTAGTGGGATTCTCCCAATTCAACGTATGCCGGACGAATCCATTTTTGAGATCGAGAATCTGCAAACCTGGGTAATCCGTAGCTCCGGCGGCGGCAATGCCCGGCGAGATCTCGAGGAGAGAATCCACGGCGGAGAACGCCGTAGGGATCGTCGATTTCCGCCGCAGCGACCAATCGAACGACGTGATTTTGCTGCCGTGAGCTACGTGGAGACCACCGTTCGCCATCGCTGCGATCGTGGACGGCGAATCTCGGCCGTTCAATGGCAGAACCAGCGATTTCTGAAGATTGAACGCCTCGAACTGCGACGAATTCGAGAGAGAATCGATGAGAAAAGCCTCGATGCCGTAGTACCTGGATTCGTCGATGAGATCGCGAATATCGAAGGCGCGTGATCTCGCCGGCAGGTTTCCGGTGCGGAGGAGAGAGAGAAGCAGGGAGAACAATTCTGGGTCACGGTCAATGAACCGGGTCGACTCAGCGAGTCGGAAGAGGAGGGAATCGGAGCCGGCGAGGGCTAGGGTTTGCTTCGTCGTCTGGAAGATTCGGCCACCGACGTTAATGGAGACACCATCAGATTCCGGGTTTGGTTCACGAGAAGTAATCCTCGGAAGATTCATCGGAACCCCCAGAATTTCGCAGTTGGATAAACCCTAGAATTTTCTCCCCGAGAAAAATCTTCGGATTCGCCGAGAACAACACAAGGAAACAAGTTAAATGTTTTTCTTTCTTATATTTACAAGTACAAGCAGTGTTTCAATTAACGGCAATTATATATTTATCCGACAAGTAATTCTCAATACACCTTTTGTTATATTACGATTTCGGTTCATCCGATTCATAACATTTTATTTTGCTATTATCCGTTATATTTATCCGAATCATAGCTTGTAAATTATGGCATAGAACTATAGATTACATTTATCTAATAAAAATAAAATATAGGAAACAATGGCTTGGATAATTGAGATATTTCATTAAAATGTAACTGTTTTTAGCAGTGTTGGTTTAAGCCCCTTAAAAGGCCCAAAAAACCCCTTAATTTTAATGTGTATATACATACATACATAACAAAAACTAATTATGGAAAACCACATGTACACAACTACCATACCAACCTATCATTATGTGTGTGTATATATGAACTAAAAATGCAACAAAGAGGAGAAGTGCTTTCTGCTATTGATCGAATCTTCTAACCTATGATGAGACACACCATACATTTGTAAATCAGACAAATCTTACGTGGCCTTTCGCTTCTTGAAGAACTCCGAACACGCGGGAACAGCATCTTTTTGTACTTGTGTCCGAATCCTCCTCTCTTTTTTCAGTTCAGATTCTGTCGGAAAGAAGCCAAATCTTTGTAGGGCAGTTAGCTAATAGTACCTGGCTGCTGAATGACCGGGAAGAATGACCAGTTGTTCTTCTGGATTCCGTCTTCGTCTGTGATCATCGTCTGTTTCTCTTCTGTCCTGAAATTGAATTCCTTGACGGATCCAAGCGAGGCCGACTGATGATGATGAAGATGCTCGGTTCGATCCCTTTCTTCGCTTTCTGCTTCTCCAGATGGGTGTTGCGATGCTTCAGGAAACGTCGTTCGTAGCTTCTGCTCCACACATCTTATGACATGCTCTGCATTTCGATCATGTGAAGCGCCTTCTTCACTCGAAACCCGATGGTTTGGCTCATGATGATGATGCCCTTTAGTGTGAATTGTATGGGTCTCGGGAACGTGGAGGCTGGAGAGTTTCCCGGGGCTCAAGAGCTTTGGGGGCTCACAGATCGGAAACTGAGGGAACCGAGGGTTTCCTATGGCCATTTCACCATCAGTGAAAGGAGAAGCAGGGCCAGAACCCGATACCACTGAGCTCGGAGAAATTAGCTGACCGAGCGGGCTACCGGGAGGAAGCTGGTAGAACTGGAACTCATAGTTGTTGGAGGCCGGAATCCTCTGGTTGAAGAGCTGAGCAAATGGTACCTCGGGTGAGGAGGGAGTGGTCAAGTGGATAGACTCGGGTGGAGGGGTGATAGGTGCGGTGGAAGGCTCGGTATTGTAAGTAGAGAAAGCCGGTGGAGAAACCAGTTGGGTTTCGTGAGCGTAAGGGCCAATGGCGAATACAGAAGGATGGTTGCAAGGCGAATAATAGACATTGCTCGGGATAGGGCTAAAAGACAGCAAACCGACGGGTGATTGCATTGCAGAATGAGGCTCCGACTGCAGAAATGAAGCAGGAGACGAAGGAGGCGCAACAAATGGCAGAGCAATGACTGATGGCCGAGCCGGATATCCAAGGGGAGCCGGTGGATTGGCCGTTGGAGCCGTCGGTTCGGGAACAAGAACAGAGTGCCCTATTCGTTTCCCGTGTTTCGAAGATCCGAAACACAGAAACACACTCCATCTGCTCCACCATCTCCGCTTCTGCATTTCACAATTCTACGATCAGCAAACGCAAGCTGATGAATTCAAAGTTACTGAGTAATTACGCAACCAAAATTCTCTGTAATCATATACTAACTCAGCCCTAATTCATTACAGAACACCTAACTTGTTCACACTAATTCACCATGGATCAAATTCAGAAACGGGAATCTTATTGATCAACAAGCAAATCGCCTCGAAGTCCTGGAAACTAGCTTAGAAACTCAGAAACACTGTTCGATTCATGGAAATCGCCATTAACGACCGCATCTAGATCAATGAAAATCGATCAAATCGAAAACCAAGGGCGTTGATCTGATTTTATCAAGCATCCAAGCAAACCCGATCGACGAAATCCGAATCAAATCAAATCAAGAAAAAAAACTCCCATGAACTCAACTGGAAAGCTAATTCTGATCAAATCAAACTTTCGTTTCCAGCCAAATCCGTGGAATTGAGCAGGACGAAGACAGACTCACCGGAGTAGTCGTAGCTTGAGGAACACGATCATCGGCGGAAGCAATAGCAGAAGCAGCAGCACTAATAGTCTCCAAAGCGTCGTTTCTGTTACCACCGCCACTCATCTTTTCCTCTGTCTCTTTTTTCTTTTTCTCGCTGGAAAATATTTTCCCGAGAAACAAACAAGGCATCCAAATCTCCTTACGGCAAGCGAACAAGTGATAGATAATACCTTAACACCCTCCTGGAAAGCACCATTTACATATAGCGATACACTAAATCCGAAATTTCCAGGAATTGTTTCTATTTGAATATAATATATATACACACATATATGTATGTATGTATACGTGGTCGTCTCTCTCAAGCAAAGGTTTGAGGTCAAAACACGGCAAACACAAAGGCGTGCCACTGTTCACAAAAACATTTGTAAATTGATACCATCTCCGGGGGCAATTTCGTCCACTACAAAGACTGTAAATATGGTGCGGATTTTGTTTATTTTTTGTTTAAATGGATATTTTGTTATGTGAACTTTATAAATTTTGGTATTTTTTTAAAAGGCTAGCAGCAGAAGCAAAAAAATGCAATCCCATTTTTATCATATATATATATTATACCAATGATTTTCTGTAATACAAGATGTTCCTGATCTGTTAAAGAAGCGCACGTGCGAGTGAACTCGTAGCCTTTAGCTTTCATCTCGTGCGCATAATTATTTATGCATCAATTGTGGGACCCACATTCACAATTTTCAAAGCATATACACACACACATATATATCTATAGACTATATGTATCCCCGTTTCGATTCAACTTGTTTTGCACGGTGGCTTGACTTTTTTTGGTCTTTCATTCATTTAATTCTTTTTTTTTTCTGAATTATTTATTATAATTATTCAACTTTTAGGAAAATATGGAACCGAATTATTGACAAATTCAAAGGTGAGGGGTATGGGAATCTGAAAAGTAAAAAAGTAAAGAGGGATATAGAGATGCAAACATTAAAACAAAAAAAATATATATATATCCAATGGAAAATGATGAGATTTATGACAAAGTTTAAGGATACATTTTTCATCTTTTTCGTTTTGATAGAGATGGATAAGCATCCCACCTAATTTAGCCAAATTCACTCCTTTGCACGTTCGTCTAGTGTATATATATGTGTGTGTGTATATATATGCAAAAAATTGTTTAAATTAACAGGAAAATTAGAGGATTTTTACTTAAATTAACAGGAAAATTGTTTAATTCGTTCTGATTACGAATTAGATTTAAGTCGCTGTCCAAAAGCAACACAAGAATATTTTACACGAGATTAAACCCATTATTGTTTTTACCATTACCATGTTGATTAGAAATGAACAAAAATATTTAATTCATCGAAAATGATCGGATACTCAAATTACATGAGTTGAATAATATACACAATATCCAAATTATCAAATTATTTTTCGTATTTTTAAAATTATAAACGTGTGATATTTATTAAAAATTACGAAATTTTCTTAATTTTCCTCACTGATAAATAACCAAACACTTAAAGACTTTAAATTTTTAAACATCGAATCCTTAGTCTCCAGTAAATTCATTTAAATATTATAAAGTAATCGAATATGGATCCATAACATCTCCACCCTAACTTTGGATTTTTTTCAAGATCTGTCGGAAGTTCAGTGAGTTAGGTCATCAACTCCACTTCGGTGGCTGTACTCTGACACGTGTCGACGACCCACCCCAAAGCCTTTATCTTACAAATTCCAAACCTAAGCTACAGCAAAAGCCCTTATTTTGACTTTTTTTTTAAAAATTTATGTTCGATATTTTCTTATTTTAGTTTGATATTTTTATTTTATATACATTCAAAAAATTTTAAATCAAATTCTTCAGTTTGATTTTTTCCATAGAAATTCAATTTTATTTTAAAAGTATTTATTTTCTAAAAAATTATTAATATTCATTTTATATTTACAGAGTTAATATTCGATTGGAAAAAAATGAACCATCCTTAAAATAATATTGCAGCAGATTGCACGTGCAAGGCGAGAAAACGACAACAAATTCAGGTGAGATTTCTTCAAAAGCAAAAGCCTCAAAATTAACTCATAATGTCGTTTTTAATTTAAAATCACATATTATAAAAACGACAGAAATCTGTCTCCATGTGGTTTCATTCTCTCCCCATCAGGACCATCTCCTACTTTCAAGATTCGCGCACTCAGATTTTTCTTTATTAGCTAACAATCATATTAACCGAATGAGATCATGATATATATATTTATATATACATATATATATATATATATAACTAATCATGCAAGGCGCATATTCATACAAATATGATTTCACTATTGAAAATCGGTGTAATTGAATGCTCTGCGGTCGACCGGTCTTATTGGATTGGTACGATCACCGGTCTGGATAAAACCGGACCGAGCAAACTTTCCAAATTTGAGCTGTTTCGCATCATTTTTTTGGATAATAAAAAAAGGGATAAAATTACAAGAGAACTAAAGAGTATTTAATTAGATAAGATCGAAAACACTTGTTAAAATCCGCGAATAATTTATTGCACGACCAAAATAACAAACGGCAAGTATAATGTCCAAGTCATATGTAAATATATAGCGAATATGATGTAAAAAGTTTATGAAGAAGTCTCTTTTTGAGGTAATTTACCGTTGAATGTCATGAAACTAAGCAGCCAAGCTCTTAGAGGCAATCTCAAACACATTTTCAGACAGTCCATTTGTTGACATTATCATTTCCAGTTGTGCCTGCAAATAAAACCATTATCATAAAAAAAATTTGTTTGCAGAAAATGGCTTTTGCAGAGACAGATTAGATATACACCCCAAAGATTAAATCTTTCGAGCAAAGTTCGACACTTTTTACCTTGGCGAGGGCTTGTCGGGTTTCGTCATAACGCTTCCAACGTGAAAAGGCGGAAACCATGCGAGAAGCCACCTGAAATTTTGACAAAATCAGGTAATTATGGAGTCCAGGGAATGGCATAAACCCGACATGAGCAACTGAGGAGATACAGACTGGTTTGATGGGTTTACCTGAGGGTTTATTTTGTCTAATTGGACGACGATATCGCCCAAGAACTTGTAGCCCGATCCATCTTTGGCATGGAAATTCACTGGGGATCCGCAGAATCCTCCAATGAGCGAGTAAACCTGTTTTCAATCAGGAAATTCCGAAAGGGTTTAAGCAAAAAAAAAAACCCAATAAGACAGCAGAAAAACTCGAGTGTTGAAGTGCACTTGCCTTGTTTGGGTTACGAAGATCAAATGCAGGATGATTCAAAAGCTTCTTGACATTCTCAACATTTCCGGGAATGTCAGATGTAGCTTGAAGGACGAACCATTTGTTAACAACCTGACAAAATACGAAAATCAAAAGAATCATACATTCACATCGAGTAGAGTTTAGACAATTCAACTCTTCAAAGCGGAAAACAGGCAGATATAATATAACCCGAGAAGGGGGGGAGACGTTGAGAGTAAGAACACGAACCAAGAAATCGTGCTGCCACTTGTCATAGAAGTCGGCAAGAGCATCATCACGAGTTTTACCCGGACTCTGAGCTAAGGCTGCTAAAGCAGCAAATTGATCAGTCATGTTGGTTGCGGTCTTGTATTCGTTCAAGGCAAGCTCGGTAATTGCTGGATATTCAAGTGATGCAAGATAGGCTGGAGAAGAAATTTCAACGCATATAAAAGTTAAGATCTGATCATGAGAGAAACGTTTCCTTAAATAATTTAAAACTTGGAAATTTGGAATATGAACCTAGAGCTATGCTCTTCAAAGCACGCCTCGCCATGCTATCATGGTCGAAAACATATGCTTCTGTGCTTCTGTTGTTTTCAACCTGTCAAAAAACATGGAAATTTCAGCGATCTATCAAACATAAGTCCGAGAATTCAAGAGAACGGGACACGGCATTGGCTCAAATGGGTTAAAATAACAAACAAGATTATGATCAGTTTTATAATTTAATTCAACATCGAATTCCAGAATTCCATGTTCTTAGTGCTCGGGCTTTGATTATTCAATTGAAACATTCGATATGTATACGGGAAGATGACATACTGTCTTTAGAAGCTGAGCTTTTAGTTCGGATGCAAGCTGCTTTCTCACAAACTTTCGGACGGCGTGAACAGCATCAGGATCCGCAACCACCATCATGTCCATTATCTCTCCCTCACCGGGCAGTGTAATTGCCTTGGCAATGAATTCCTAGACAACAAAGATCGTATCAGTTTCTAAAACCCTAGTCTCTTTCTTAACAATCAAATTCGTGGTTAAGGAAATGTTTGAGTAGTACTTTGTCTAAGCTCGACTCGGACAGTATACTGCCAAGACCTTGCACAAATTTTGGATTCAGAACCAATGGCTTATTTTTCTGGAAGTCAGCGACTAAGCTGAGCATAAGCTTCCTCGCAAGAACTTGACCCGCCTCCCAGCTGAAAATACAGAAAACTCAGGGATGAAATTCTGATTGATATGAGCATAGCATAGAGAATTTATATGTTTTAGACAAGCACAAACCGGTTGAACTCGTCTGAATCATGGGCTAGCAGGAAGAACAAGTCATTATCAGAAAGATCAGTTTCTAGACGCACTGGAGCACTGAGTCCCCTCAGTAGAGAAGGAACTGGTCGCTCGGATATATCAGAGAACACAAATTCTTCTTCTTTCTGTGCATAAACAAAAACACAAGTTCAGGAAAAAGGTGGCACCTGAGGGAGAAAAATTAACGGAAAACCAAATGAAAATAGCAGCGACATTGTATACATACATGAATATACACAAGACATGAATTATAAGAAAATTGACCTTGGTCACTCGAAGTATAGTGCTGCTGCTTGAAATGCTTTCCGGTGTACCGTCGTGATAAACAGAAGTCAGTTTCATATCATTACCACTCGAGTCCAGAAGACCAACAACGACAGGAATAAACATCGATTCTTTGGTGGGTTGTCCTGGAGTTGGGGGTACTTCTTGACTGCAAAATTGAACATGTTTAACAGACTATTGTGGTTTCTTTGTGTAAATATTATATCAGAAAATGAAACACAAAGGCGAGAGCAATGTGCCGACAACAAAACAAACTACAAGCAATCTTTTACAGCATTGTTTCTGGAGCTTCCTTATCGTAGAAGTCCCAAATTTCAAAAACTAAGGAAGGTAGATGAAGTTTATAAATGTGAAAGTACGAGATTTAAAAGACAAGTGTTAAATCAAAATCTGATGTAGTCAAGCTTCATTGTTAGATGGGCAAAAAAAAAAAAAAAAAAAAACAGGGGTTAAGGTGAATGGATACACCTGTACGGACCCGACAAAAGTAACTCCCGACCACTTCTTCTCCCGTGGCTTGGCCACCGCCGGCAACACCAACACCTCCCCCACCCGGT